TCAGTGGTGGGTATTGCCCTGTGTTCTTTCAAGAGACTGAAATGAGTCACTGTTTGACTCACGTCCCGATGAAAAGAAAAGGTTAGATTTATAGGAGATTAATTTGCAAATTGGAAACCCATCTTCCTCTGAGACCTGGAGAAGGAGCCAGCGTCAGCTGCAGGAGTAATCAGAATGAAGTCTGCCTCTCCACCAGAGACTCTCTCTCGGGCGTTTTGGTGTGGCCCTCGGTCATTAGCTAGGTTATTGTCACTTGGCATGGCTGCCCCTATCAGAAGTCAGCTGGTAGTATCTGTCCCCCGTCCCTTTACCCTCCACCCCATCATGTGTTTTCTTGTGCAGTCATCATAACCGCATATAAATGAGAAGTAAGTGCAGCTAGAGATTACTTGCTCGGCTGGAGCCAGGAACCCTTTTAAGGAGTGAGTGTATTTTAAATGCACTCCACCTCTCCCTGGCTTTGTTCCCTGCCGCCTGCAGTCTGCTGCACTCGGAGGAGCAGTATGAATCTACTGGGGTCTCTCTCATTTGCTGATTTTTTGTTCTGAGCTTAACACGAAGGTGATGTTGCGCCTTAGTCCTTCTGTCAACCTCCCATGCTGTTTTTTTTATTTTTTTATTTTTTTATTTTTTTATTCTAGGGGGTTTGCAACAGTAGGTTTACAGTTGTGAGTACATGAAACAGAGCTTATTCTTTTATTACTATTTATTTTTGTGTTATATATATATTTTTTTCATATGAATAACTAGAAACCTACTTTTGCCTATCTCCATGTTCCTGGAAGTTTAAGCAATAGTAGGAATTCATCCTTGGCTTCTAAGGCTGATTAAGGATATTTCTTATTCTTATTTCTTTAGTAATCTGGCACGGAGGAATGAATCTATGTAGCTTTCTTATTTGTAAGTTGTGTTTTATATATCCATTTTGAATGGTAGGGAAGGATGTTGAGGTAAATCATATCCAGTGACACCAGGGGAATGAATGAATGGGTAAGTAAATAAGTAAGGGATAAAGCTCATCTTTTGCAAGTGGAGGGCATTAGAGGTAATTTTGCAGTTTCCCAAAGAATGGTATAGAGTAAAAGAGATGCCTAGAATGGTGCGTGGAAGCAACTAGAGAAGAGAAGGGGGCAACAGGAATGAGCCGAGGACGGTAGCTGGGGCTAGTGGGGCCCGCCCACACTGCTTTGTGGTTTCCTGCTGGAGCACAGTCTTGGAGCTCAAGCAAAGGAAACGGGGAGTTAGGTTGATGACAGATGGGAAGAACTTCAGGACAAGCATCCAGGTACTTGGAAGAGTTCAAGAGGGGTGTATTTCTTTAAAAATTCTGTGCAACTCTGCAGTTGACAGTTTGGGGCTCTGGGAAAGCAGGGACTAGAATGTCAAAGTAAAAGCTAGAGACCAAACAGCAGTATTACTCAGGGTATTGTTTTTTTTTGTTATTGTGTCTAGTTTCCCCTTGATTTATTTATTCAGTTTTGTAAATAACTTGGAAAGTAAATAGGTTTCATAAATGTGATTTTAAGACCGCTTCCAAGAGAGAGCTGGTTATACCCTCTGAGGCAGTACTGCTTAGCTCTTGCATTTTCAGGGTTAAAAACAATACATCATTTTATAAAGGGCTCTTAGAACCTTTTTACGGGATTCAACGAAAGCCTCAAAACCAGATATGTCTTAAATGCTTCAGGGGGAGGCAGTTAATCTTCTTCCTTATTTTCTCTTTGAAGATATGAAACGAATAATCTGTTATCTACTCTCTATCTCAAGGACACGTAACATAAATCAAAACTAGGGACTCCTCTTGAAAACTTTGTCTAGATGAGAGCAGTAGAGTGTCTGTTTCAGGGTTTGGGGGAGACAGAGAAGAGTCTGCAGGACAGCTGACTTCCATCCTGCGTTCTATTGGACTGCCTGCAAGCGGTACTTAAAGGGATTCGAAGCGCGTCCTCTCATTGTTGTTCCCTTGGAGGGTTCGTCTATGGAAAATGCACGGGCCCTGGAGAGGGTCCTGGGTCAGGGCTCGGCTCCTCATTTCTGGCTGTTGTGACTCTGGGCACATTGCACCACCTCTCAGAGCCTCAGGCCCCCTATTTGTGAAGTGTGTTAACACGGTCCGCCTCACACGGTCTGTGATGTGACCCTTCCTGTGCTCAGCCTCTGGTTATGGTGTCAGTAATCCCACTCACCTCTCCCCACTTGGTTGTCAGCAATGCTGCCATGTGGCGGATGTGCCCATCAATTTCGATATCCCTTTCCATACTGCAGTCTAGGTGCCCAGGATTCACCGTTTGGGCAACTCCATGTGCTCTGAATAAAGGGTGGGGCATAAGTAGGTTTACAGTTGTGAGTACGAGAAACTTGGAGTTTATTCTTGTATTATTATTTATTATTTATTGCGTTATTTTCCATATGAGCAACTGTAAACCTACTTTTGCCTCCCCCCTGTATTGAAAATATATTAGGATTATATAGCTTAATGACGGCTTGGCAGAAATGATACTGGGTTGAGTGCACAATATGTCTTAAGAATGGAATCTCACCTTCCTGCTTGTTTTGGGTTTTGGTTGTCACGCTATTTATATATTCACCGGTGTACCCTCCATTTGATAGAGCAAGGTAACTCGGATTATAAATATGTGAAAAGGAAAAAGGAAAAATGAAAGAGTAGGAGAGGGCACAAAGTAATGCCAGCTAAAAGTTCAGTACAAATAGCACATGAGGGAGGTCCTATCATTTTCTCAGAGCAACAGCATGACGGAGGAAAGGCGCTCCAATATATGTGTGCCTTTCTCCAGGCCTTTCATTTAAACTCACAGTGTGATTACACAGGTCTGCCCTCAACCCCCCGAACTGTAGCTAAGGAGGTCAGTGTTTTCTCAGGACACCTATGGGCTTTTGTGTTGAATGTTATACCAAAACATCTTGACAGCTTTACTGCTACAGTTCTAAGCAATAAAGGCTAAGCAGCCTGGCCAGCGTGGTCAGTGGTTAAGCATCAACCTATGAACCAGGAGATCACAGTTGGATTCCTGGCTGGGGCACATGCCTGGGTTGCGGGCTCCATCCTCAGTGTGGGAGTGCGGGGTGTGCAGGAGGCAGCCAATCAGTGATTCTCTCTCATCATTGATGTTGCGATCTCTCCACCTCTCCCCTCGTCTCTGACACCAATAAAAATATATTAAAAAAAGAAGAAAGAAAAGCTAAAGCGATTGAAACTATAGTGTGAAGGATAATAAACAAAGACAGGATACAAATCAAAGTTTAAAGTTGGTAGAAATTGCTGCCAAACCCAGATTATTTCTTAGGAAAATGTCTGAGGCTCTGTGACTTGCTCAGCATCCAGCCAATGCAGAGCAGTGCCAGTGGATTTGAGGCCAAATGACTTGATGTAAGCGTCCAACTTCACTGTTCCTACTGCCCAAGACTTGGGTCTTGTGATCCTGCTTCATTACTCTCAGTGTTAATAAAAGTATAATTTTCTAATAGCTTACCAGAGTTCAGGTATCTTGCATGCTAGTGAAACTAGAAAGTGTATTTTCAGTCAAAAGATTCCTGAAGCCGGGCTGTGTATTTTTATACATTATACCCTTAGTTCACTGCAAATGCTCAACAAATACATCTTGAATAAAAGAGTATTGGTAGGTGTGACCTAGCCGGTTTAGCTCAGTGGATAGACCATCAGCCTGTGGACTAAAAGGTCCTGGGTTTGATTCTGGTTAAGGGCATGTGCCTCCATTGCAGGCTCAATCCCTGGCTGTGGTTGGGGTGCATGTAGGAGGCAACCAATAGATGTGTCTTCTCACATCTATGTTTCTCTCTCTGTCTCTCCCCTCTCCCCTCCCACTTCCTAAACATCAATGGAAAAATATCCCTGGGTGAGGATTAGCAAAAAACAACAAAACAAAACAAAACGAAAAGAATATGTTAGGTGGTATGCAAACAACATAAAAATGAAAAATTTTCTTAAAATTGAAGAATTAAAACCATTTTTTTTTAAATGAAAAGTTTTCCCTTCTGGGCTAAATTGCAAACATGGAAACAATGGCCTTAATCTTTGGACAGAATTTGGGCCATGCTCTACTGCAGGGAGTTTAACATCTTGTTGAGTTTTCTTTATAAACATCTGAATGCCGAAAGATTTAGTTATACTTGGTGCTTACCTAGCATCCTCTCTTTGAGGATGTCAAAGGATTTAAAAAGTGCACTTCTTCTCACACATGGGGAGGTCTGAGTTAGAAACCTTCTCCTCCACCCACAGGAGGAACTGCCTCATTCCTGTGGCTGCCTGCTGCGCCTTTGGGGTGCCTTTCCTTCTTTGATCATTCCTTGGGAAATGTAAACCCGGAACCATTCACCTTCTGTTTCCCACTGGAGTAGGAATGGTTGTTGGTCCAGTGCTGGTTCTGCCATTAATGAAACGTAGGGCTTAGTCCCTTCTCTCCTCCAGCCCCCAGATGTTTTTAATCTGGTTAATGGGCAGGGGCTGATTTCTAAAACACTTGATGGTGTATTATCTCTGCCCTTTGTATGTAAACTATCAGCTCTCAGTTGTAGGCCACTCGATTGCTTTATTGGTTAAAGAATGATGGCTTCTTCCGCTGGCCCATTCTCTCTGTCTTCACAAATGGACACTTAATCCCAAAACATCTAGGGAGCCTGCAGAGTTGGATTCAAACCTGTGAAAATACATCAACCTAACAGGATTTGGACGAGTGGACTAAAAGTCTTGGAGTTGAGACCTTAGATGCTCTCTCCTGGATTCCTCTGTCCGTGAAGCTGGTAGTTGGCATTTGGTCTCAGGGATTTTTGCTTCCTCCGGCAAATGGTAATTCACTCCCATTTGATATTCCTCACAGGCTCACTGGGTTTTTCTGTTCTTTTCCAGGTCCGCCGCTTCTCCTAGCATGACTGCGATCTGATCAGCAACCACGAGAATTTGACTCCTGTGTCTGGTGCCGTGGTGCTGGGGCCTGGTCACTGCCCACAACTACAGAGCCACCATGGCAACCGCCTCCACGGCCAACCCTCTCATGTCACAGCCCCAGGTATGTGATTCCAACCAGCACGGGTTTGAGCGAATCCTCCTTTCGTTGGATATTTAAATTGAGTTTCAGAAGGTGTGCTTGACTGTGGGGATCCTTTGGTGGGTATTTAGAGAATAGTGCTTTTGTGGTCAGGGACTGTGTAGTTCAAGAAGCAGCTGGAACAGGGAGCAAGTGATGTTAGTGAGCTGGTCTCTGTTTGTAGGGGCCTTGGTTTTCAATGCTTAGGATGTTTGGTTATCACTATAGGCATCCAATTCCAAATCAAGACGGTCAGAAGTGAATCCTGAATTCTGCTTCTTTTTTTGTCTGTTTTTTTTTTTTTTTTAGGATTAAATGAAATATCTCAGAACAGATGTAATCATATAGCCAGTTTTCTGAATGCTGTCTCATGGTCCTACTCCTATAATTATTACAATCATTTTGCTTTGACCTATTTAAGTAACTTTTTGAAAAGAAAATGCACTTCTAGAAACTTCTGAACAACCATAATATGAATTACTTTTTCTGTCCAATGAAGGACAGTAAGCCCAGCCAGCGTGGTTCAGTGGTTGAGCATCAACCTATGAACCAGGAGGTCATGGTTCGATTCCCGGTCAGGGCACATGCCAAGGTTTCGAGCTCAATTGCCAGTGTGGGGCATGCAGAAGGCAGCCAATCTGTTGATTCTCTGTTATCATTGATATTTCTATCTCTCCCTTTCCCTTTCTCTCTGCGGTCAATAAAACAAAATATATATATTAAGAACAGTATTAAGGCAGGAACATTGTTTTTGTTCCGATTACTTCACAATCTGATCTATTCAGGTTTTAACTGGACTCTCAGTTTCAGCAGGCAGAGTGGCTCAGTGGGGAAAGAGACTTTGGAGTCATTAGGCCTGAATTCACATATCAATTGCTGGATAAGGAGCCTGAGTCATGCTAACCTCGCTCAGCTTAATCTCTTCTCCTATAATCACAGTTCACAGGATAGATATATGGATTAAATGACAGAATATGTTCAAAGCACATAATAGGTGCTCAACATATGTAGTTTCTTGTCTGTTCTTCCTTCACCTCCTCCTCCTTCTAAAGTATGACTTCCCATCCCATGACAAGGTTAAAGAAAAAGGTACACCTTGAGAAAGAGCCATGTCCATTGAAATTTGACTCTTGATGATACAGAAAGTTATTCCCCACTTTTCCCCCCCTATATTATTTCACAAGTTACTACATTTCAAGGAGGAGTGTTGGTCTGTGTAAAGGAGGGAAAGGAAGAAGGAGCTGGAACAAGGGACATTTTTATTTATTATGCCTTTTTTTTTTTAATCCTCTAAAACACTTTGGAATTTTATGGATACAGTCCTTGCTGTTCTTTATAACATTTTAAAACTTTAGTATTACTTCCCAGGATTCTTAGTGCTAACTCTATTAGATGTATTTCTCTTTCTGGTAAATGGGTCATTGTGTTTGTAACATTTTATCTCAATTCACTTTGTGTTTGGTTGCCATTCCCCTCAGCAGTGCTTTTGGTCCCTGAGAGACGTGGTCAATAGGTAAAACGATTCAGCACCTGCTACCTGAGTTCACCATTTCAAAGTGTACCACAGCTGCTCCCACGCAATGGCTATTCTTAGCCTTCTGTGATGTTAGGCCCCTGTATAGGTTCCCTGACAAGGCATTTCAGCATCCCGGTCTTGCTTATGTCGCATGTCAGCATTTCTGACAGCATCCTCTTATCTGCACACCTTCCCTCTGACACAAGCTACTATCAGTTGGTGAGTAATACAAGTCTTTTTAAATGACTCATTTAATTAAAATGTTTACTACCAACCAAGGTAGAAAGAGGTCATATTTAATATAAATGGTTGGGGAAATGTGTACTCTTGTAAATTCTCTGTGGGAAAATAATTTGATGTAGTCACTCTTGGGGTAATTTGATGATATCTATTAAAAATTATATGCCTTTGCACATACCCTATTCTAAGCATTGTTTCTATATTAGAAAACACTTACACATGAGCCCAAGGAGATGTGCATAAAGAGATTCATTGAAGACTTAGTTGAAGGCCATATATCATATCTGACTATATGATAATGGAAGGGCTTAATAAATTTAAGACATGCTGATAATGATTTAAATACCATGCAGTTGTTAAACATGACAAATATGCAGAGTGGAAAAAGTAGTTTTACAGTTGTGAGGACACGAAACACAGAGTTTATTCTGTATTACTATTTATTAATTATTGTATTATTTTTCATACAAACAACTACAACCCTACTTTTGCCCACCCCTATATATCTTAATTCAGTGGTATCTCCTCAACATATCTGATGGAAGGAAAAGAAAGGAAGATGCAGAATAATGCTTACAGGAAAATATAATTAAAACTGAAACACACACACACACACACACACACACAACACACAAAAACAAAACCACTCACAAAAAGCTGTAAAACAAGACCATATGTTTTTAAGGACAAACATATGGCACATTAATGTAAATGCAAAGCAGAATGTCTAGAACATACATTGTCAAAGGAAATGATATTGTCCCGATAAGGCAAAGATTGGATGTTGGGTGATGGAAAGTCCCCCTAAAGCTTAGCCCTGCCTGAGGAAATTTTGTATTTAAGAATTTAAATTTAATGAAAACATTCTCTTTGAGAGTCACCAGTGTGTGTGTGTGTGTGTGTGTGGGGGGGGGATGTTGGACTAGAAGGATGCAAAAGGCTCTCCAGCCATACTGGTTGGGCTCTGATCCCGCTTGTAGGAGCTACTTGCTCTCAGAGCCTCCATTTCCGCATCTGAAAAATGAGCATAATATTAATAAAGCCAACGTGATATAGTCGTTTAGAAGTTGTGTAAAACTTAGAACAGTATCTGGTACAGATTGCTCCATGCATCTCAGGATTATTATTTAACAAGGACTGTGGCAGGCCTGTGGAAGCAAGAATAAGATAAACAATGCTTTGCCCTGCTGGAGTTCAGACACATAGTGGCAAATGGGTAAGGAAACAATAAGTTACCATGCTGTGTCACAGATGCTCAGACACAGGAAGTCTGGGTGCTCCAGGAATAAAGCGGAGAACCCAGGAAAGACTTTGGAGGATCAGGGAAGGCTTCTTGAAGGAAAAAATCTCCCCCGCCCCAGGCTGGGAGTTTAGGAATGAGTATGACTTATTCTGCTCAGGACGAGGAAATGGCATGGGTATATGTCAAGAGTCCCCAGGTGAGAGAGCATAGCATTTACACACCAGTTCAGGAGAGCTGCACTATGTTGGGTCATGAAGCTGTAAGGGACGCGGTGGAGCCAGCTCTGCCAGCTCATAAGACCTGGTTGTGTTTTCAGGAATTTAGTGAGCCCATTGAGTTCACCCTTGGAATCAGCCAGGGTGGAGTATTTACATCATGGAACTTGGCAAACACGCTCCCTCCCTCCTAAGGGCCCATTGTTATGTATTCATCATCATGTTTCTGATGGTAGAGGAGGAAGGTGGATTAAGTTACAAGGTTGGAGAAGATTTCGCAGGGCCTGGCAAGCAAAGGAATTTGACAGGAAGGAAGGTAACATCAATCTTGAAGAAGCCTGTGCAGCTTTTAAGTCTTAGACCTGGGTTCAAACCCTGGCTTTTGACCATTTGGTTGAACAAGTTCATTCATTAATCTCAACCAGGATAGTGAGCCCTGTTATTCTTACCATATGTTGGGAACAGCAGTAGCCTCTGATGTTTGGGGGGACTCAAGCCCCCTTGGAAGGAGTCAGCTATAAACTGGGATATTAGGTCCCAGGCAGAGGCAGCTTATTCTTCTGGAGAGAAGCCGACCGCTGGGTCACTTCTTTCCCAGCATCCTCTGGTCGATGATCCAACCACCGGGTCACTTCTTTCCCAGCATCCTCTGGTCAATGAGGGGCCTCCTGATTATATGGCAGCTCTTCACGCACGTATAGTTTGTGCAGTCAACTCTTTGTCCAAGACTGATTTGTCTTTGTGCCCATGCTTGTAGTGATGCCTCCTCTCCTACTATCAAGTTTTCCCCAAAGTTCAAAGAAGGTAAACGTAATTTCAATACAGCATCTCCTTCGCCAAGGGCATAAGCAGTTCCCTCCATCGGCTTAGCCTGGTATTGTCTGGCACATCAACTTGCATTCTTTGAGAGTGAATTCAAGGACCGGTGTAATGATAAGCCCACACTGAAGTGTGAAAGGCCTGACGATTCTTTTCAGAAATTCTTTGCTGAGGCAAAAACAACAATGCAAGAAAAAGAAAGAAAGAAAAAAGCTTTTGGTTTTGTTACTCTATTCATTTGGTAACAAAGAGCATTTTTTTCTAATCAAGGCTGCCTAATACTAGATATAAACTAATTAATATGAACAAATAGCCTGTGATTGTTTGGAACAATAACAGGGAAGAAAGCTTTCATTGTCACTCCTGCTGGGCTTGCTATTTAGCCCGTGAAAGATAGGCCTTGTGCTTTGAAGTGGGACAAGTTTGCATTCCCTGCTTTGCTGCTGCCCAGTCTGAGATGGATTTTTGTTTTCTCATGCTCGGAGAGCACCTTGGTCTTCTGAAGCAGGATGAATAGTGAGGCGAAACTGGACTAGCAGCAGCAGGAAAGCTGTGTTTGTAGCTGATTTATGGTCCTCTGAGTCCAGACGCTGATAAAGAGCTTCCTTACCCAGAGGAAGCTCCAGGGATTTGTCTGCAGACAGGAACATGCTCATTCAGTTAAATGAATGTGTTCCTGCCCTGTGGACCTGGTGGGGGACATGATACCAAAAACTTGCCACTCTTAATGACTATTCTGTTTCTAGAACTCTGTTTAGAACGACCTTAATTGTGGTTCATCTAGTGACTGTGGGTAGAATATGGATGAAAAGTTTCATTTTCCTTTTGAACGGAAGGGTCAATAGTTCAATATATGAATGAGTGGGTTGGCCTCTCTCAATTCCAGGACTGGTATTAGAGACCAGAAGAGTTGTTTGAAAACTTCAAAGGTACTCAGATCTCAAACCTG